AATTCACTCTGTAGTCTAGGCTGGCCTTAAACTTAGAGGGATCTACCTGCCTCTTCCTCCTGTGTACTGGGATTAAAGGCATGTGCCACCACTACCACCTGGCTACTGTCTAAAGGTTTTTGATATGTGAATTACATTTACATTTTGTATTAAAATTTGCAAACAGTTGAGGTCAGCTTGAGTTATGTAGTGAGTTGAAAGACAGTCTGTAGTATGTATAGAGATTTGTCTCAAAACTAAACACTAAACAGAACTTAACTTGCAGGTAAGGGACTGGAAAATGGACCAGTGGTAAAAGCACCTGCTGCCAAATCGGATTACCTGATTTTGATCCTCACATGCAATCCATGGCTTGCACATACCTACCCACACATGTGCTTATACAAAATTTAAAAGTTTTTGAAAATTGGAAGTAAAGATTATATTCAGATATACCCTTTTACATAAGGGATAATGATGAAGTCAAATACTGTTGGGAGTTGTATTACATGTAAATTCATAATTTCAGTGATATATGCTGACCTTGGTAGTTGGTGTGCATCTACGAGGATTTCCAGTTTCTTGTTCCCTGAAGAAAGCATTGAGCATTTATTAATAACTAGTACACTTCCAAGGAGGGGAAGAAGGCTAGAGCAGAGTTTAGAAGCTCCATGCCAGTGCCACACACAGGATGAACACATACATCTAGTAGCACAGGCTTTATGGCTTCTTTGTATACTTTGAGCTTCCTTAGGAATGCTTCCTGCTGCATGCTGTTCTCTCGGGTCTGGAGTCCTCTGCCTTTGCTTCTAGATGGTTCTAGCTGGTCTATGCCTGGGGATTCCAGCCTGCCTTTTTGCCCGTAGGCTTAACCCGAATTGCAAATTTTGTAGCTTTGGTGTAAGTTCTTCCTGACTTTACTGTCTGCACTGACAAGTCTCAGCTCCTCCCTGAGAGCTTTTTGGGCAACTGAAGGGTGATAATACATCTTACAACCACTTCTTGCTATTGAGGAAGGAGTGTAGTCCCTTTCTGTGAGAGATCGCAAGGTTCTCACTCTTTCTTCATCGACTGATTGGAGAAGAGGGCCTGGACTCCTGTGGTAGGAATTGCCCGTGGTCCCCGCATTACAAGTAGTCTGGAGTTGCTGCATCCTCGGTGACACAAAACCAGAGTTTCTCTGTGATTATTAGGCAGTATGCTACTTAGTTCTAATGTTAACTTGATATAAGCTAGTGTCATCTGAGAAGAGGGACCCACAACTGAGAAAAATACCTCTGTAAGATTAGCCTGTAGGCAAGTTTGTAGTGTGTTTTTTAAAAAAATTGGTGATTGTTATGGGAGGGCCCAGCCAGGGTGGGTAGTGCCACCCTGTCCTGGTGTTTCTGAATGTTGTGAGAAATCAGGCTGAGCAAGCCATGGTGAACAAGCCTGTAAGTCTCTGCATCCATTCCTGTCTCCAAATTTCTGCCCTTAGTTCCTGCCCTGGCTTCCCTAATGACAGACTTAGAAGCTGTGAGGTACAATAACTCTTTCCTCCCAAGGTTGCTCTTGGTTGTGGTGTTTGGTTCATGACCATGCTTGGTCACAGCATGTTCCCTGTTGGTTTCTGTTAGCATCTCCAGGGCCATCGCTTCTTGCAATACAGCTGTCTGCATTCTGATTTGAACCTTTGAGGTTAGGAGGGGAGTTCTCAGGCTGTAGGGGAAGGTATATACTGCTGACTGTATACTGACAATGTGACCAAGCACGAAGGAGCAGTTTTTAAAAGGGATCTGGTTAGGGGATAGATTGAGTGGATCATTGCCAACAGTGAACAGAAGTACACTCTCATTCCATAACTGTATGTCCACGAAGTGGATGCTTATTCCACGTACTAGAATACTTTATCTTCCTTCCTTATCTCTTTATTCTTCCTTTTTTTCCTTGTTTATATTTTGGATTGAATTCAGTTTTAACCACATTGCCAACAAGCAACCATACTCCAAAAACAGTTTTGATGGATTAATTAACTTCAGATTTATCAATTGTCAGTCATCTTTTACTGTTCATCTTTTACATTTGATTTTGTCTTTGGAGGATATTTTAGTAAATCCTTTAAGCTGCATTACCTTATTTTTAAAAAATTATATTATCATTTGATGGTTAATTCATGCTGCTTTGCAAAAGCTTATGAATTTGGCATTCATGAATGTAATAGTTAACCTTCAGCAAATATTGATGGTTAAGTCAGTGGGAAATTTGTCATTCTCAGTTCTGACTAATGCTCGTAGAGGGTGGTGGTCACCATCCGTTTGTATGGGCTTTAATATAAAGGCAGCCTTTATGTTGAGCTTGGAGAGTCATCACAGAATGAGAACCTGAACACTGGCAAGTACATCTTGTCAAATTCTAACTGTGCCTTCCAGTGGGAGTGGCTCTCTGTTCTAACAGTGAAATGCTGTGCTTACTGATGCCTTCTTAGACAGAAGTGAATTTCAGTGTCTGGAGCACTTCAGAGCACACAGAGTTTATAACTTTGTTCCCTTCTTTCCTACCTCTCCCATCCCTTCCTTTTCTCCCCCTTTGGCCTTGAACTCCCTTCCTTCTGCCTCTAGAGTGCTAGGATTATAGATGTGTATTCATTTCTAGTGTACACACACACACACACACACACACACACACACACACACACGCACACACACAGAGTTCACCATAAACAATGGTGAGCAGTTCTGGTGTAGAAACAATGGGAATGAAGTAGTGTTGTTATACTTTTTCCTTATTCTTCAGATGCCCTGGTTATGCCGCAACCAGACAAGAGTCACCAGTGGGTGTTTAATAGGAACTGCTTTCCTATTGTGGATGTGGTGATAGACCCTCACCTTGTACGTCACCTCCGACCACATCAGAAAGACGGAATCATCTTCCTCTATGAGTGTGTGATGGGAATGAGGTAGGAAAATAAATGGTCACAATTAACTTTTTTGAGAAGAATCTGATAGAATGAACTTCAGGTCGGCACCATAAATGTCAGTTGGTACTAAATGTGTGTCTTCCACAGTGGTCCTTGGTGGAAGCCCTGTGCCTTGTGTCCTGTGCCCTGTGTCTTGGTGAGAAGTAGAATAGGAACAAGGACCTTAAGTAGCTCCAGCCTACATTACCCATTTAATTTAGTCTTTTTATCAATAGTATTTCACTTGTTCCTCACAAAACTCTAAGTCAGGTAGGGAAAATACCAGGTTTATTTTATGGACAGTGGTAAGAATTTAAAGAGAAAGTAAAGAGATTTATTTTCCCAGTTATATGGTTAGTAAGAGCCGGTGTTAGATACAGTGTAGGAACGATCAGCTTTTAGTTGAAGGCCCTTTTCGCTAAACCTCTTAGCTTCTAAGAGGTACCTCACACGCACACACACATGCACATTTTATAGGCTTCAACAAAAGATCTAGCTCCAAACTTACCCATGCCAGCTTATGCTTCTCTACTCACAAAGACACATGGCTACAAAAGTGTGTTTTTGGAAAGCACCATTTTTTGGCGTGAGGCTCACAGGATCATTGGCCATCTGAAGTCATGTTGATGGCTGAGGAAGCTGAAGAGAACTCAGGGAGGAATATTCAATTGCATGGGTGCATCTTAGTTCCCTTCGGACTTCATTTCCGTGAGGAGGTTCTTTAGTATGGAGCTGACTGGAAGCTTTTCAGGAGGATCTAACTAACTCTTGATGAGTTTGTTCATCCTCTTCGTGTGTGTTTCTGTGTGTGTGTGTGCACCTTGCACATGGACTCTAAAAGTCAATTTCATGTGTCGTTTCTATCTGGTTTTTTGCTTGTTGTTGTTATTGTTTTGGAGTTACCTTCTCTAGTGACCCAAACTTGCTTATTTGGCAGACTGGCTGGCCAGTGAGCCCTGGGAATCTGCCTGTCCCTGTCTCTGCTGCACGTGGATTACAAGTGTGTCCCACAATGCCTGGCTCTTTATGTGGGTGTGAGGTTGAGTTTAGGTTTTTATTTGTGCTACTGATGAAACCATCTCCCCAAACCCTGCTTCTTAGTTCTTATTTCTAATAGAGAAATACAATTAAGCTAACAAAGTTCCAGTGTATTTTTGAATTCTTTTGATACAGTGAAATTGATTAATAAGTGTTCAAATGTTAGTGATGAGAAGCATAGCTATAGTTAAATTATCTCACTGCAGATACAAAACTGTAATTCATTTCTAGTGTTCAACTACGTATAGATGACAGTAATAGAGGCTTTATATTCAGGTCCTTATTTCAGATTCATGTTTTGATAATTAGTTCACAATACATAATGGTTATAATTGTCAAAGACTCAAAATTGATAGGTTGTTATCAGCTAGATGAAACACTAAACTAGTCTGCAGGGTCATTGTTACCAGTTTCCTGTTCTTGTGATGTCAGGGCATGAAATATTTTTCCTTTGTGATTCAGTAAGCTATAAACTATAATTATTTCTAACAGAGCAATTGGCAAATGTGGTGCTATTCTTGCTGATGAAATGGGTTTAGGAAAAACATTGCAGTGTATTTCGCTCATCTGGACCCTACAGTGTCAGGGACCCTACGGGGGCAAGCCAGTAATAAAGAAGACACTTATTGTTACCCCTGGAAGCTTGGTGAATAATTGGAGAAAAGAATTTCAAAAATGGCTGGGAAGTGAAAGGATCAAGATATTCACTGTTGATCAGGTAAGAGATTTTTAAAGGTTTATGTCCTAAACATTCTTAAAATATCTAGCCTTTTCACTTAGTATAGTTATTAGCTTTTTGAGTGTATGGAATTCCACAAGCCCCTTGGATAGAAATGGAGTTTTGACCTACATTTTGATTTTGAGTTGTTACAGTACGGTTACCTTTGGTTCCTCAGAGCCATATGTTCAGGTGCTGACTCTCAGTGTGCAAGTATTCATTTTTTTATAGTGTGATAATGTGCTATTGTGAGTTAGAAACACAGCTGGACACATGTCTGTAATCCCAGAATTTTGAAGGTTTGGACAGGAGTATCCAGAATTTGAGGCCAACCTCAGCTATATAATGAGACCGTAGCCTGTTACATACATACATACATACATACATACATACATACATACATGTGTTATGAATTCATGTAATATTTTGTACATTATAGTTTAGCCTAATTTACCTTAAATATACTTAAAACAGGTACATTAGCTTGTACCTTGAAAAACTCAGTTAGGTTTTGTATGTGGGCAGGTGATTCAAGAGGACCCTGAGTTGGATTACTGCGGACTAAGGAGCTTATTAGAAATGTTGTTAATGACTTAGAGAGACAGGCAACTGCATGGCTCTGAGGAGAGTTCAGTCCCCAGCACAGAAAGGCCGCATTGCAGTGTGTCTTTGTTACAGACTCAGTAGACGACACTTCCTGGCTGAGATGACATGGCAAGGCTGTTCACAGTCAGTGTCTGGGAGCAGGGGCCTCAGCAGAGACTGGCTGCTAACATTGTGTATAGTCACCTTACAAAAATCTATTTTATAATAGAATGTTGAATATTTTGTTTTACTGAATACTGAGAACACAGAATGGCTTTATGGCTATCTTTTTGTACTATTTTCAAGTCAAAATATTAGAAGTCAGCCATTGGAAGTCACTCAGGAGCTTGTAATGCTTTAGGAGATAGGGCATTGGAAGGTGGTTGGGGTTAGATACTAAGGATGGCGCCCTATGATGACGTTAGTATGCTGGCAGTAAAGGAGGAGAGATCAGATCTTCCCCTTTCCACTATGAGAGCCATACATCCCAGTGAAACCAGGGAGAAGAGGAAGGCTTTTTATGCTAACAGTCTAGGTTTTACTGGCCTGGCTGTGGTCTGATTGGTATTACCTGAGACCATTATGTTAGGGTTGGCTCTGTGGCTTTGATGATTCTAAGGAGGTTCTGTTGCTGGGTGTGTGTGTGTGGGGGTGATTTTATCCTTTGATTTAAAGTATTCATCACTCAGTCCCCTTGTTCCTGGGATCTAATGCAGTTGTAGGGGAGAGAAACCCAGGAGAGTTCAGAAGGAAGGAAAAGAACAAAATGAGCATGCCTGAGTCTGTGGCTGGGACGGTCTTCATTGATGGCCAGTCTTAGGCTTCCCATCCCAGTGAGAAGTCATGGCTCTTGTTCAAGCCTTCTTAATGCAGCCCAACAGGACTGAGACAGGATGGGTTAATGGATTCTGATATTTGGTTACTGGTGGGCAAAATATACTGCTTAGATTTGATTATATAGTTTCTGTTTATGGTTTATTAAATATTGTTTTTCTCTCTTTAGGGCCATAAAGTTGAGGAGTTTACCAATTCTACATTTCATTCTGTCCTTATCATCAGTTATGAAATGTTACTTCGTTCCCTAGATCAAATTAAGACCATAACATTTGGCCTTCTGATCTGTGACGAGGGGCACCGTTTGAAGAACAGCAGTATCAAGACAACAGCGGCCCTTTCTAGCCTCTCTTGTGAGAAGAGAGTAATTCTCACTGGTTAGTAGTCACTCTGGGGAAGGTGGGATGGAACTTTTGCTTAACGAACCTTTACAGTTTGTAATCTGATACTTGACATAAAAAGAACTGGTGATGTTGGGGGAATTCATATGAATAAACCTGTGTTAGTTGATTATGAGTCTTCAAATCCCTGTGCACTTTTCTGCAGCCCTGTTTCTGCCTTCTGAGGAATGAATGTAATAGTATCATAGTAAGGCACGAGGTTGATGAGGCTGGACTGGGTGTGCTTGGTTTCTCAGTCAGCCGGTGAAACTTGAAACTTGACAAAGTAATTTAGCTTCTTGTTCCTCGATTTCCTAGTCTGTGAAGTAGAGATGTAATGGCATCAGGTTCTGATGTTGTTGTGAGGCCAGAGGACTTGATCTGTGTAAGTCTAGTTCAGTCATGTGGTAGACATTTCTCCCTTGCATACCCAGCCTTGTTTAAAAATTTTTTTTAAATTACGTATTTCTATTTTGTGTGTATCTGTGTGGGTATGCACATGCTTTGGAGGTCAGAGGACAACTTATAGGGTCTGTTCTGTCCTTCCACCATGTGGGTCCCAAGGTGGAACTCAGGCTGTGAGGCTTGGCCATGATCCCTTTCCCTGCTGAGCCATCCTCTGGGCCTAGGTGTTTTTTGTTTTTTTTTGTTTTTTTGTTTTTTTTTTAAATTTTTTAAAAAAATGTAATCAATTGAAGATGATGAAAAAGATGAAAAGAATTGGCGTCAAATATCATATATACTTCTATGCCCAATGTTTAGCAGATAACCAATCAAAGTTGTTATGTAATAATAACATAAAAATTGGATAGTAGAGAAGCTGGTGTTTAGTACTTAGAAAATTCTGTCTTTAAAGGAAACCGGAAATTGGAGAAATGAGAAGTAGAATCTAGGTGATTTCCGTATCTTTGGCTATTTGAGGAGCGGAGTGGATTCTTCCAACTTCATGATCAACCTTGGATCTTGAGAGCTGTTAGACTGGAGAAATGGGAAAATGACTGAATTTGACTTTAACGTGATTATTTTTTCTCCCCTTTTAGTGTGAGGCCAATATTGCAGCTATAGAACAGAAAGGATTAACTCTAGAGAGGAAGGCAACTGAGATGGGTGGAAAAAATAGGCTTTGGAAAGAGCTGCAGTCACAGAGTTTAAAGCTCTTTCCTCATGTGGACATCAGATAGCTGCACTTCCCAAGAACAGGCAGATGATTCACACCCTCAGTAAGAGGCTTACTACGACACTGGTATTCCAAATGAAGTTTCATCTCATCAGTAGAAAGTTGATTCTGGAATCTCATTTAGAAGAAATGTTCTGTTGGTAACTCGCTTCACGGAGGTATTACCAGTGTCCTCTGTCCCTGCTTTGTCAATCTTGAGACTGTTCTTGCTTTCCTGTTCTTGTCACTTGCTCCTAGAGCTGTAACTTTGGATAAAAACTAGCAATGACTTCTTAAATTAAAAAAAAAAAGTATATAGCCGGGCGGTGGTGGCACACGCCTTTAATCCCAGCACTTGGGAGGCAGAGGCAGGCGGATTTCTGAGTTTGAGAGTTCGAGGCTAGCCTGGTCTACAGCGTGAGTTCCAGGACAGCCAGGGCTACACAGAGAAACCCTGTCTCGAAAAACCAAAAAAAAAAAAAAAAAGTATATAGTTGTTTTTTTATATCTTTAGAATTGTTTGAATTGATCCATCCATATCTGTCTCTCATTTTGTGGATCTAGGGACTGAACCTAGGATTTATTTTATTCTTTTTCTCTTTTTCATTTTTTTGTTTTTTATTGAAAAATAGATTCTTTATAATCTGATTATAATTTCCCCTCTCTCTACTCCTCTAAGTTTCTCTTCCCTTTCTCCTCCCCTCCCAATCCACTGCCTTTCTGTCTCTCATTAGAAAAGAATAGACTTCTAAGAGATAGCAACCAAACATGACAACATAGAATATAATAAGATTGAAGCAAAAACTGTCATACTGAATTGCACACAATCCAAGAGGAGAAGGATGGGCCTAAGAGTAGGCACAAGACTCAGAGGCCTAGTTGTTCTCATGGTCAGGAGTCCCATTAAAATGCCAAGCTAAAAGCTACAACACACACACAGGACATGGTGTGGTCCCGTGTTGGCCCTGTGCTTGCTGCTCCAGTTTCTGCACTCAGTGCACCTTGCTTAGTTAATTCAGAAGGCCTTGCTAAGCAAGCTCTCTGTAACTGCCGTAGATCTTTGGACCAATTCTTATTTTTTATCATTATAGGGCCTTTTGCTCTGAATGTGATGGTTTCCCTTCTATGAAAGTTCATATATGCAAATGAGCATATGCAATGTTATATGTGTGATCAGTACTAAGTTATCCATAGGAGAAGAAACTTTGACCTTGTTTTCCTGCTATATTTTAGCTCATTGTTATGGAAAGTATTCAATTGGTGTTGACTAGAAATAGGTTAAGATTTAGATATCTAACAGGTATGCTGTCTGTCAGGGTTGCTGTAATAAAAAGCCACACTCTGTGCTTAACACTTTCCTTGTGGTTGTCAAGACTAGAAGCCCAGTATTTAGGTTTGCTATGTGGAGTGACTTCTGACCCTCACAGCCAAAGGAGCTACTCTACCCGCCTGACTCACAGGTGATGAACTGGTGTAAATATCTTGTTCAGGGGTACTCAAGGGAGGAGGTGGGTTCAGAACGTGAGCAGCACGTGAGAGCCCCTCCTTCCGCCACTTTGCTGAAACTAGATGCAGAACTTTATGTGATAATCGCTATTTTAGGCTTTGGTTTGACTGTTCTTCTGTAGTTGTAGGGTGTTTGCTTGTATTTATTCTGTCAGAAAGAAGGGACAAATTTCTACAGAGACCTGTGATTATAAGCCTTTCATCACTGTTATCTCTCCTTAGGTACCCCAGTTCAGAATGATTTGCAAGAGTTTTTTGCATTAGTTGATTTTGTTAATCCAGGAATATTAGGATCTCTGTCGTCTTATAGGAAAATATATGAAGAACCCATCATTATGTCAAGAGAGCCTTCTTCTTCTGAGGTATAGCTTACTTTAATGATTCTTTTTTAAAGAGCAGGATCTCTGGAAGAATTATAATTTGGGTGTTTATTTATATGCTGTATTTTATTAAATCTAAGATATACCATTCTATATATCACTAAAGATTACACAACTAAAATTGTAAGGAAAACACTGATTGTTAAAAAGCATCCTAGAGACTGAGGCAGGATTGCTGCAAATTCTAGGGGAGGTTGGGCTGCAAAGTATGACTGTATTTAACACACATGCCCATGTGTACATGTGCATACATACATACATACACACACACACATATACCACATACATACACACACACACACACACACACACACACACACACACACACACACACACACCCCTCACAGTGGGCAGGGGTAGCAGACACCAAGCAAAGGCAAGTATAAGTTTCAGGCTAGCAGCCTGGTCTACATAGTGACTTCCAGGATAGCCAGAGCTGTACAGTAAGGTCCTATCTCATGTACCCCACCCCCACACACCAAACAGACAAACAAACAAACAACTATTGCAGAAGAGACAACCAGAGGTTAGAGAGGATCAGAGCAAATCAGTGTCTTCTGGACATGAAAGGACTGTTGTGTGAACTCACAACTCACAGCAGCCTTGGTTTCTGTTCAAGATCAAGCCAATCAACTGTCCATTATGGAGGGACCCATGAACTTCTATCCCTAGCTGAGGAGCTAATGACAGTTGATGGCTTTTGGGAGAGGCATAATCAGTCTTCTTTAAGGCTATGGCACCTGGCTGGTCTACTATGTTCTAGCAAATGGCCCATACCCTTGAGTATGTGGCTCGTACAAATTGGAGTTGGTGGTTGACTTAAGCCACTTTATTATTGCTGTGTGAAGAGGTATATAGAAACACCATGACCAACCAATTCTTAAAAAAGAAAACATTTAATTGGAGGCCTGCTTACAGTTTCAGAGATTTAGTCTGTTATGTCAGGGAATATGGTGGCAGGCATGGCAGGCATGGTGCTGGAGAAAGTAGTTGAGAGCTATATTCTGATCCACGGGCATGGGTTGAGGGGGACGGGGAGGGGGAAGAGGTAGATAACTTCTCCAACAAGACAATACCTCCTGAGCCTTCTAATCCTCTAAATAGTGCTACTTCCTGGTAACTAAGAACTTAAATATTTGAACTTGTAGGAGCTTGAGTTCTTATTCAAACCACCACAGTGATTTTTTTTTTGTTTTTTTGTTTTTTTGTTTTTTGTTTTTTTAAAGACAAGAAATTGGGAAGTGGGGAATTGGGATTCATCTGGGAGGAGTTAGTGAGATGAGTAGGGGGAGACTATGATAAAGATACATTGTATGCATATGTGAAAGTCTTGAAGAATTAATAGAAAGTATATATTTTAAAACATGACAGAGTTTTGCTTTGTTTTTCTCCAGTGGTAGGATATTGAACCCAGGGTCCTGCACATACGCTACTGTTGAGTTAGACTCCCAGATGCCACGGTTGGGCTCTCTATCCCCACGCTTGTATTTTGTTTCTTCTGTTGAGAAATGTCTAATGTGGTTCGGTAGTTGTATATGTTGTAATCTCAGTGTTCTGGAGGTACAGGCAGGAAAAGTTGAACTCATGAGCAGGCTGTGCAATGTGGTGTCAGGTTAGCCTGAGCTACTGTAGTAGGACTTTGTCTCAAAAGCCAACCCTTTCTCCTCCTAAAATCTGATAGAAGTAATTAATGATGCTTTATAATTCCATAATATTTAATGTCCATTTTAATCCTAATTACAGATATTTTTATACATAACCACTTTTTAAGTCTGCTCTTTTTTCCTATAGGAAGAAAGGGAGTTAGGGGAGAGAAGAGCAACTGAGCTCACACGCCTCACTGGACGTTTTATCCTTAGAAGAACTCAGGAAGTCATCAATAAATATCTCCCCCCTAAGATAGAGAACGTCGTCTTTTGCCGACCAGGAGCATTGCAGATTGAACTTTACCGAAAGCTCCTGAGTTCTCAGTCTGTCAGGTTCTGTCTGCAAGGACTGCTGGAAAATAGCGCTCACCTCATCTGCATAGGCGCCCTAAAGAAGCTGTGCAATCACCCTTGCCTCTTGTTCAGCTCTGTGAAGGTAAGTGAGGTGAGGGCTGTGTGGCTTGGGAGCCCAGAAGCTCGATTATGTGGGCCCTGGAGTGGGACTTGTGAGGCAGCCCTCCCATGTGGTTCTGTTGTAGAATTTCTCCAGTCTTTGCCATGGCCTCTCCCTTCCTAGTTTATGTTAATATACTCATTTGGTTTTCGTGATGTTAGAAGATACAGAACTTAGCATTAAAATAATTTATTTTCTTTTTATAAAAGTAATACAAGATTATTGCAGAAAATTTAGAAAATTCAGAAGATCCACAAAAAGAAAGTAAACAACTGGTTTGGAGCTCACACCTATAATACTCGCCTGTGGGGGCTGAGGGAGAATGGCTTTGACCTTGAGGTCGCCCTGAGTAAGATTCTGTTGCAGAACAGAAACAAAAATAAAAACAAAATCATTATATAGTCTCCAACCAGCAAAACCACATTATGGTATTATTAATAGTACTAGCTAATAGTTATTAAGTATTTTCTATATATCAAAAATGAAGTCCTTTTCTGGTTTTCTTTATTCTTCATGCAGCTATCTGGAATAAGTACTATTACTATCATCTGTATTTTTATTAAGAGGGGGGTCTTAAAAAAAAAAAAAAAAGAGCCGGGCGGTGGTGGCGCACGCCTTTAATCCCAGCACTTGGGAGGCAGAGGCAGGCGGATTTCTGAGTTCGAGGCCAGTCTGATCTACAGAGCGAGTTCCAGGACAGCCAGGGCTACACAGGGAAACCCTGTCTCAAAAAAAAAAAAAAAAAGAAAAGAAAAAGAAAAAAAAGAGAGAGGGATCTTGCTCTTTTGCCCAGGCTGGTATTCTGTTCCTGAGCTCTTTTTTTTTTTTTTTTTTTTTGGCGGGGGTGGGGGGAGGTTTCGAGACAGGGTTTCTCTGTGTGGCCCTGGCTGTCCTGGAACTCACTCTGTAGACCAGGCAGCCCTCGAACTCAGAAGTCCACCTGCCTCTGTTCCTGAGCTCTTTAATGAATCTCCTGCTTCAGTCTTCAGAATAGCCAGGACAAGAGGCACCTCCCCACTGTGCTTAGCTTCCTCCTTAGTTTTGTGGTACATGCCTTTAATCTCAACACTCTGGAGGCAGAGGCAGGCAAAACTCTGAATTCTAGGCCAGCCTGGTCTATAGAATGAGTTCTAAGACAGCCTAGACTACACAGAGAAACTCAGGAAAGAGGGGGAAAAACAGATAAACATACAACAACAACAACAACAACAAAAAACCCAAAATGAAAGAAAACAGGGACTCAGAAATATTTATGTATAGTCTTTTCTCAAACATTTCCCAAATTATATTCCTTCTATAGGCGTGAATTTGAGTGATGACATAGTTGAGTCAACTGTGCATATTTAGAGATCATAAGGTGGTTTGCAGCATGGTAAGAATTTTTGAGATTAGGGCTGGTATCAGTTCTTTAAATTGGGCCTGTCATTCTTTTTCTCTGAGAGCATCTCCTGTAGCTCAGGTTGGTGTTGGCTCCCATCTGTAGCTGAGCATGACCCTGGGTTCTGATTCTACTTGCCTTTGCTTCCCAGCAGTGAGGATTATAGGTGTGCACCACAAGTCCCAGCTTGAAGTCTTTAACATTTGGCAAATTTTGTACTTAAGCTGTATCTACAAGTGTTGGTTGTCTCATCTGGAATTCAGAGCTAACAATTACTTCATGATGACATCGTTGTGACGGTTTAACAAGAAATTATAGGAAGAACTTAGTAGCTCTTCCATGTCTAGTTAAAGAAATTGCACAATAATCATTAATGATATTTCTACCTCACCATGGAAAACTTATATTCAATTATTTAAACAGTAAAATCAAGGTATGTTCTCACAAATAACCTTCCCAAACAAAAACTGTGGGTGCTAACTTATGTATGAGATCATTACTTATACACTTAAGGATAGAGTGTTGTGACAGAATTCTCCAAGTTTGTCCTACAGTGGAGCCTATTTACTTAGTTTATTATACAGGTGAGCTTTGTGCAACTGCAGAAAGCTGAGTTATTAAGCAACTTTTAAAAAACAGATCCTATATACAGTGGTAAAAATGGTTAAAAAAAATCCCAGGAAGAATAGAAGCCAAAAATTCTTTTTAGGAAGAAATAATGATGGCCCAGAATATATCACTTATTTAGAATGTTTTTGCGTATGCCCCCCCATTTGTATATGTGTTTGATATATATGTGGTGTGTGTGTGTGTGTGGTGTATGTGAATGTGTGCTTCCACCCCAAATAGTTAGTTCTTTACAGCATATTCAAATATTTAGACTAAACCCTGTGTCGACTTCTTCAAGTTATAGGTATATTATGTAGATCTAACCTGATATAAACTCTTTGAGTTCTACAAATATTTAATCAAGTGTCTTTACCTAACTATTGTTTTTCTTCCTGTTGAAAGCCAAATTACAATTAAATATGTACTCAGAAAGATTTGTCTAGTGCTACTAAAAAAGGAATATAAAAGGAGTTTAAAATGTAGTTAACTACTCAGTTAAATAAGGTCAAAGGTGAATATAGTGTGCATTAAAAACAACAACAAACAACCTGGCCAATCATGTTGGCTTATGCCTTTAATTTCAGAAATCAAGAATCGGAGACAGGTGATCTCTGAGTACAAGGCCAGGGCCAGCCTGGTCTCTAGGGCAAGACTCTGAAAGAAGAAAAGGCTCTGAATAAGCAGGTGAAATTTGCATCAGGCTCTCAGTTCTTTATAGAACTGAGATAACAACAGAAAAGGAAGAAGCCTTTCAAGCAGGCAGGGGTGTAGATTAATAAAGCTCCAGAAAAGGAGAGAATTCTGGTAAACTAGGAAGAGTAGAGAGACCGCAAGTCCTGACCATTTAACCTGAGCAGGGGTTGTCATCTTATGTATTTTTATGTCAACTAGGCATTTTTAGGAAAGAATTTCAGAGGTACCTATAATCACTTTGGAGTAAAAGTAATTGGAGTTAAAATAGGGGCCCTGGGTTCAGCATCCAGCATATCCCCCTACCACAAATTCTAGTATATAAGCAAACTATGTTATAAGATAAATTTCTCTATTAGCCTATTGATGACATCATTACTTCTTATGAAGAAACTGATATGACTTATGACTCAGGGCACTGTTGTCTTTTTTTTTGGGGGGGGGCACTGTTCTCTTGCTTCAGTTTGTCATTTGGGAGATGTTGTAAGCCACCTACAAATCAAGAGAAAAAGTAGTAGGAGAGGAGAAAGGGAAAAGGAGAGAGAGTATTGATGAGAGTGCTAGGGAGTCAGGGTATTGATGGAGATGCCAGGGAGAGAGTGTTGATAGGGGTGCCAGGGAGTGAGATTATTGGTAGGGGTGCCAGGGAGGGAGGGTACTGATAGCGATGCCAGGGAGAGGAAGTATTGATGAGGATGCCAGGGCTTTGGAAAGGCCCAGGAACTGTGTAGGGAGTATGGTACTGCTTCAAAATGGTAGTTGTGACCTTCAGAGATTTGCTTCACAGTTGGCTTGGACTAACCTGTAAGTTTTGCTTCTTGCTTACTAAAACAGTAAACGTGAACAAGTGTTAACTCACATTTGAACAGGGTAAAGAATTTAGCTCAAGTTGTGAAGAAAATGAAGAAAGGAATCTATGCCAAGGCTTGCTGTCTGTGTTCCCTGCTGGCTACAACCCTCTCCAGTTCTCTGAGAACGAGTCAGGAAAACTACAGGTGTTAGTAAAGCTCCTGGCAGTGATCCATGAACTTCGTCCCACTGAAAAGTAAGCCCATTCATGTCATTCATGTTATCGTCTGTCACTGCATCCCGCCTCCTCAGTCCCTCCCTGTACTTAGGTTCTTTGGTTTACTTTCTCCATAGAATCTGTTTTTGCACCTAAGTCACATGGAGGTGAGACTTGGGCTTCTGTGTACTGATAGTTTACATTCTTTGCTTCTGAGGAGCCTTAGTGAGATTTTAAGGTATTTGGGGTAGCAAGATGGCTCCATGGTTAAGAGCACATACTGCTCTTCCAGAGAACCCGTTTGGTTCCTAGCACCCACACCTGGTAGCTAGCAGCTATAACTACCTGCAGGGGATCTGACACCCTCTTCTGGCCACTGTGGGGACCTGCACTCACATGCATGTATACATACAGGCACACGATTAAAAATGAAAAGACTGTGAGGTGTGAACCCCCTGTGTTGATTTCTGCTGGAACCCGCTCTTTGTTGATTTCTTTTCCCACTGCTCTTTTAAGGCCAGCCCTGCCTTACTTTTTTCTTATTTAACTTTTGCATATAAACATTTCCTTGTTTATGTGATAGAGTTTGAATTTTTCCCTTTTTTTTTTTTTGCGTTTTGTTTATTCTGCTCCTTTTAGTGTGACATCAGGAATGAAGGATGCAAGGTGTTTGTTCTAGCATCTTTTTTTTATTGGATATTTTATTTGCATTTGAGATGTTATCCCCTTTCCCTATTTCTCCCACCTCCCAGAAACCCCCTATCCTATCCCTCCTCCTGCTTCTATGAGGATATGCCACCCACTCCCACCTCGCCTCCCTCAAATTCCCCCACACTGGGGCATCCAGCCTTCACGGGACCAAGGACTTCCTCTCCCACACAAGGCCATCTTCCCCTACATATATAGCTGGAGCCATGGGTCCCTCCCTGTGTGCTCCCAGGCTGGTGATTTAGACCCTGGGAGCTCTGGTTGGTTGTTATTGTTGCTTTCCTTATGGGGCCACAAACCCTTTCAGCTCCTTCAGTCTTCTCTCTAACTCCTCCATTGGGAACTCCTTGATCAGTTCAATGGTTAGCTGTGAGCATCAGCCTCTGAATATGCCAGACTCTGGCAGACCTCTAAGGAGACAGCTGTATCAGGCTCCTGTCAGCATGCACTTCCTGGCATCCACATCAGCGTCTACCTTTGGTGACTGCACATGGGATGGATACCCAGGTGGAACAGTCTCCAGACCTCCTTCAGTTTCTGTCCCACACTTTGTCTCCATATTTGCTCCCATGAGTATTTTGTTACTCCTTCTAAGAAGGACCGAAGCACCCCTACTTTGGTCTTCCTTCTTTGTTCTAGCATCTAAAGACTGGAAGTTTAGATGAGGACTTTAAAGGAAAAGGAAGGAGTCCCTATGGTTAGGTGTTCAGTGCTGCTGCTGCTGCTGTTGCTTCTGTAATAGCAGTGTTACTGTTGTCCTTCAACTAGAAGACAGTCCAACATCTTGCTTTAAAACATATGTAATGATGTTTTGTTCTTGGTTGACAGAGTGATTTTGGTGTCCAACTACAGACAAACCTTGAATATTTTAGAAGAAGTTTGCAAGCGTCATGGATATGCTTGTGTAAGACTTGATGGCCAAACACCAGTCTCTCAAAGGCAGCAAATTGTTGATAGTTTCAATAGTAAATACTCTATTGATTTTGTTTTTTTATTAAGTTCAAAAGCTGGTGGTGTGGGACTTAATCTTATTGGAGGATCTCACTTAATTCTCTATGATATCGATTGGAACCCAGCTACTGACATCCAGGTAGGACTTCTTATGCATTAAGTTGACATTATGAATCCCCAGAAGCACGGCTGTGATGATGTTGTGTTAATAGTTGTTACGTGTTGGGCTCTGGTCTTGTACCCGGCACTCTGCTGCGTGCTTTCCACTTACCGTCTATTTAATCTCCACATTTGGATGTTAGTATTAGTAGCCTATGTTTTCTATATGTGGAGAGGTGGAGATTTGTTCTCCTTCCAGCATGAGAATTCAAACCCAAGCTTCAGGTCACACTATACAGCTAACTTGGAGGGTGTTGATGAGCACTGGGGATGGCGTTATGGATGCTGTGATCAATTTGTGGAGGCTGCAGTAAGGTTACAGACAACATTAGCTTCTTTAGGAAACTTTGTGGAGAAGACCAGGATTTTTTCAGCGGACAGACCACTTTTATGTATTTTGAGGTTTTAACAAGTAGATTTCTACCTCAGTTAGTATTTCATTGTGGAATCCTGAGACAACCGTGAAGTTTTGTGGCTTACCAGGCCTTAGGGAACGGAGGAAAGCAACTATACTCAGTTATTATTTTACAAGGATGCTAAAATCAGCTAATGTGTAAGGCAGAGTTCAGGAGGGACCAGGCACAAACTCTACCCATCTCCCCCCGCAGAGCTGTATGAACAGTGTTTAGTTCTCAGCACCGATGAAGGACAGGAACCACAGGGGCATTACCAGCCAGGGCACTTCACCCAGAGGTTTGGTGTCCAGAGCTTCTGCTGGGAGTTGGTTCTGTAGCATTAGTGCCTCCACGACAGCCTAGGAGTCCTTCGATCGTCTTCCTCTCCAGAAGTCACCATGTGAAGCTGGGTGTGGTGGTCAGCGTGAGGGGAGGGGAGGGATGATTGGAGACATACAGCTGCACTGAGTGCACGTGCAAAGACCTAAGTTTCAGTAGGAGAGGAGTAGGGAAAGGGGATTATCCTGACCTCAAGATCTAGACTTTCCAGGGCAGAGAGAAAACAGGCACTTAATGGCTCTTTAAGTGGCCTCTGGTTTGTTGGTCTTGGGACTGGCACTCTTTGAAATGTTTATTTCACAAGTTAGTGGATTTTGTTTTGTAAGCTTTAATCAGCGGATAGTTTGTGTGGTAGAAACTGATGGCCAAGCATTCTGATGTTGTTCTGTGCCTGGTAGGGTTTTCCCTTTTGATAAGGTAAGGATAAAAGACAGCCACATGCACACGTTGTCAATAAGAGAAGAATACAGTAACAGGCTTCATGGATTAAAGGCATTGGAGGCAGCCATTTTGGGAGAGTGGACAAGGTATAAATACCAACCCTTTGCTGAAATATCTCACTACACACAGTATCACTGTTAATCCTTAAGCTAGAGAGAGCCTAAAGTGATTGCAGATACCTTAAGGAATTTTCAGGGGTGACCTATTAGCTTCTGGGACCTTGCATGCCCAGATTGCGCTTGGTTCTTTGCATCTTGGCTGTCCAAATTAGCTTTCATGTTTCATCAAGATATCCATCTCACTGTTGCATGACCCTTCTGTGGCTACTTCATGTGCCTCTATGGGTGCTCAGTCTCCTTCTCTGAACCTAGGGCAAGGATGTAAAGGGCATGTGTATGCCAGTTGTGCGATGGTATGTCTGTGGAGGTCAGAGGACAGCTTGTAGGAGCTTAAATGTGGGTTCTAGCTCAAACTGGCTTATCAGGCTGGTGTTCTGACCTCTGAGCATCTTGCTGGCACTCTGCTTGTTTTTTGACTCTGTTAGTGAAATCCAGAATTCCCAATAGTAAAGTATATTCCTGTAGATTGCTTATGTGGCAAGGGCCGTTGGTTTCTACTGTATTCAGAATTCTTCTTTTGTCTAGGCTATGTCTAGAGTATGGAGAGATGGTCAGAAACATCCGGTACATATTTACAGACTCCTGACTACAGGTAAAAAACCTTCACCTAACAAAAATTTATCTCCTTAAAATTTTTTTGTTGTTAGTTTATGCTTCAATATCTGGAATGTATTCTTTTATCAGATAATAAGTAACAAACATGTTTACCAAACCCAAGTAATAGTCACAAGAAGGAAATCTAATGGGTGTTTTCTTCCCAGGGACAATAGAGGAAAAGATCTATCAAAGGCAGATCAGTAAGCAAGGCCTTTCTGGGGCCGTTGTAGACCTAACCAGGTCATCGGAACATATCCAGTTTTCAGTGGAAGAGCTTAAAAACTTGTTCACATTACATGAAAATTCACAGTGTGTTACCCATGACCTGCTTGACTGTGAGTGCACAGAGGGAGAAGATCACACCGGTGAGTTGTATGTTGATTTATTACCTCAGTACACATAACTTGTGTCTGAAAATATTTAAAGCGTACTCAAAATGTCTGCCATTTGCATGTATTAGTTTCCTTTGTCCCGTGGGGTGTGGGCACGTACTAGATACTCACTCGAGAAAGTATTCAGTAGGACCTTAAGTTCAGTTTACTGATTTCTAAATCCATTGTGAAAAAATTAACTCTGTCGGCAAATCTCTCAAAGCCTGGTAGAATGGCTTCAGAGTAAGAACGATGTTTTAAAGTTTGATTGAAATTTCATAAACATCTTATACTTATTAGAATTACATATTGTTTGTCTAAATCATGTAAGATTTATTCATAATGGGGCAAGACTTTGAGGTGCTTAGAATGATCAAGTGTACCTCTCAGTACTTGGAGCATGAGTGTTGTGTAAGTAAGCCTGAGAGTATCTGTCTTTACAGTTAGACCTTATTCACAGGGGGGCCTAGGTGAGAACAGGAAGTGAGGAAGCCATGTCCAGGGATGGAGGGTCACTGGTAGATGATGTTGTTGGGGGCTGGAGGGATGACTCGGCAGTTAAGAGTGTTTGCTGCACGGTCATGAGGACTGGACATTGGATCCTAGCACTGTGTAACAGACTAGGCATGTGTTTTGTATATCTGATACATAAAGTGCACATTCACTGCCTGCTCACCCGGCACACAGACACTTATACAGAAATTATAAAATAAGTCTTTAGAAGATAAAAAATATTGTGATGTTTTTCTTTTTTAACGTCTTAAAGGGAGGAGTTTGAGGTGTGTTTATGGTATAAGTTCAGTACTTATATATGAAATTCTCAAAAACTAAACATGTTCAAAATTAAATTGATGTACACACAGATATATATATAGATAGATACATTAAATCATATACACATACTCATACATTATACAATATTTTTTCGGTTTTAGGGATTGAATCTAGAGCTCTGAACATGCTAAATAAGAACTCTGCATGCTGAGCTACAAGCCCAACCCAAAGCCGGTGTTCTATATAACATAATCTAGTTTATATACATTTACTACTCTAAAATTTATATTGCACATACTAGAATTACTAGACATGATTCTGCATAATCATAATTATATTTCAGTTATATTGATATATTTTTATTTCTTAGGGTAGATTTTATTTTACTTGTTTAGTTTTTGAGACAGGGTCTTATTCTGTAGCTCTAGCTGGTCTGGAATTTATATGTAGACAGGCAAGCCTCCTTTTCATAGGTAGTAATTTTAACCCTGTCTTAGGAGTAGATTTAAAACTTGTAGATAAATATTTTCATTTTTCTCTTCATGGACATTGGTCTTACTGTGTACTTTTTTTCTGCTTTATTTTGTAAAACTTTTCCTTTTTTTAAAAATTTTTTTTTTAAGTCATGTTCTTGTTAGGTAGCCTGAGATAGTTTCAAATTCTCTTTGTAGCCCAGGCTAGCCTTGAACTCAGAGATGTTCTTGCTTCTGCTGGGATTAAAGGCATGCACCATCACCTCCTAGCACGACTTAATGATCTTCAAACTTATTTTCTTTTAACTTTTTAAAAAATATTTATTTTATGTATGTGAATACACTGTCACTCTCTTCAGACACACCAGAAGAAGGCATCAGATCCCATTACAGATGGTTGTGAGCCACCATGTGGTTGCTGGGAATTGAACTCAGGACCTCTGGAAGAGTAGTCAGTGCTCTTAACCACCAAGCCATCTCTTCAGCCCCAAACTTATTTTCTAAAATGGTTTTTGACCCTTTAAAAAATATTCAGTTCTAAACATATATACACAAGTAATACTAAATAATTTAGCCTGTTTTACATGCGTGTGTAGCAATAGTTATTATAAAAGAGGCCATAAATTTCAAAGTGAGTGGGATGAGAGAGTAGTTGGAGGTGTGTAAATGACGTAGATACGGTAAATTCACTGCAAGTTTTTAGGAAGAGCAATATGCAGAACAGAGTGAGTTCCTTCCCCACTCAGCTGTGTTATCCTACATTGTGTGGATATATAATCACTTATTTACCCACCACACTACCATGTGTAATTAGTTATATACCTTTATTTATATACCCTTTCCCATGCAGTCAAGTATATATTTGTCAGCTAACTTAGTGTTACTGGGTGGCTCACAAGAGGCTGTAATTCCAGCTGCAGAGGTTGTGATTGCTCTAGCCTCCTTGGGCACCTGCACACACCTGCATGCAGACACACAAACCATATAATCCACATAATGAGAAAATAAAAACAAATCTTTTAAGAACTCTTACTTAAATTCATCCGTGCAGCAGTCTTTGCGGCTCAGTTCTTAGGGAGCCGGTTCAGAGTCTGTTGGTGTGCTCCTGCAGAAACTTAGGAATTTGATTGATGGAGTTCTGACCCACATGTTTGTATTTGCAACACAGAACAAAATAAACACAGAACATGTCTGTTTATTGATGCCGGAGATTGGACCAGAGACCTTAGGCACACAAGACAAGGGCTCACTTACACGTGACTCCACCCCAGCTCTGTTCCACAGTCCTTACTAACATATTGTGTACTTGTAAACATTCCTTTGGGAGATTATTTGTCTGATGTGTATCTTTCTTACTAGACCTTAATGCTGTTGTTTTTTTGTTTGTTTGTTTATTTGTTTTTGTTTTGTTTTGTTTTGTTTTCCAAGACAGGGTTTCTCTGTATAGTCTTGGCTGTATAGACCAGGCTGGCCTTGAACTCAGAAATCCGCCTGCCTCTGCCTCCCAAGTGCTGGGATTAAAGGCGTGTGCCACCACTGCCCAGCGATCTTAATGCTGTTGGATCACGGTTTGTAAAAAGGATGAATGGTTGATGGGTTTAGTCTGAACTATGGTGATCAGATGTGGCACGTCACATGATTCTGTATGTAGTGGGGTATCTGCTATCCAAAGGGTCTTACTGTTTAACTCATTTCAGATGATGCATTGGAAGGCCCTGCCGCCTCTAGACAGTGTCAGCTCGGCCCTCAGAAGTCTAACTCCGCGAGACCTCTCTCCATGTCACAGCTGAAGCAGTGGAAACATTTTTCTGGAGACCATTTAAATCTTCCAGATCCATTTCTTGAAAGAATAAGGGAAAACGTGTCATTCTTTTTCCAGAATATAACCAACCAAGCTCCTGCCATGTAATGAAGGACTACTTCCTAACATTCCTTTGCTCCCCTTAAAAATTAATATGGGAGTTAAATATAATTTTGAAAATGAACAAAATTATTTAAATTATGATATTTGTTTCACAATATACCTATTTAAATACAATAAAAGCTGAGTTGTTTGCTCTCTTGTGTATATCCTTAAAGTGTTGAAATGAACCATTACTCATGTGCCGTCCTGTATCTGCTCATGCTCTGCACGAGTCCATGGAGCGATACACTTCATCCTGTGTCAGCAGTTTAACTTGCATTTCCCTGATTGCCAAGGCTGCTGCTCACTTTCCTGAGTGTTTATTGGTTGTTTCTTCTTTTGAGAGCTGTCTATGTAGTTTATTAGCCTGTTTATTGATAGGACGATTTAGGGTTTTTTTGTTTTTTCTGTTTAATTTTTGTGGTTCTTTATAGATCCTGACTCTCCTGATGATGTTGTAAAGATCTCATCCTACAGGATGTCTCTTCACTCTGGTGATGGTTTCCTGTGCTGTGCTCAGGGCTTCGTCTCTGTGTTGCTTTTAGAAGTGGGAGTTTAAGAAGGGACAGCAGGGCAGGAATAGGAGGGTGGTTGAGCTGGTGAAAGCTATATCCTGGAGCTGCCGCTTCCTGACATATTATGGGCGCACACATTGTGTCCTGTTAAGAAAACCTCTGCCTGTATCTTGCAGGGTCTGTGTTTTCCTCTAGCAGTTTACACAATTGCAGTCGTGATTTTGAATAGATTTTTGTGCAGAGTGAGAAAGATGGATCCAGTGGCCTTCCACAAATGGAGACTGTAAGTGTAGCAAGTCAAAGGGAAAGGGTTCCTCTGCAGAAGTTGTGCTCCAGCCGCCTGCAGTTTCCCGGCAAGAGTTGCAGCTCTGCTCCTAGGAGAGGTTTCCTCAGTGAAAGCTCTGCTCTGAGCAGAGGATTCCAGCTCTGCTCCGAGTGAGCGCTGTCTTGGCAGTCAGGAGCCGAGGAATACAATGAAGTCACAACACACAACAAACTTCACGTTTATTGGGAGGGAAAACCCCAATTTTTTGAGGAGGGTTGCTGCCTATGTTTGAGAGCTAAGCAGAAAACAGTTTATGTAGGATTTCTTAGTTGTGGGGGCCGCTCCAGAGTGGGGATTGGCAGGCTTTCAAGTGCAAAGCTTTTTGCTATGTGGGGTGGGGGCAAAGTCTGGCAGCTGTGGCAGTTAAGAGTGTTCTGTGGGTGGAACCTGGTGGCTAGAGGACCTGAGGAAGGGGCTACTAGTGTGCCTTGAGGGGCTTCTGGCTTCTGTTTGGTTCATTTGTTGTGTGCCAGTGCCATGATTTTGTTGTTGTGACTGTGGATGTTATATTGTGGTAAGGACTGCCTGTGTTATTTGGGGCCTTTTGTGCTTCTAGATATATTTTAGGATTCTTTTTCCTAGTTCTGTGAAGCACACTATTGGGATTTTAATGAGATTGCATTTAATCTGCAGATTGCTTTTGGTAATTCTACCAACCCATGCTGGTGTCTTTCCATCTTCCAGTAAGTTTTTCAGTTTATTATTTTTTTCAGTGCCTTAAAGTTTTCATTCTAGAAATTAATGCTGGGTAGTTTTGTCATTTTGTTGTTTTTAAGCTTTTGTAAATGGGACACTGCTTCTGTAAGTGTTTCTGCTCCGATGGAAGAGTGTCCTGCGAATTGGAAGCTTCCCCTCCCCTCCCCTCCCCTCCCCTCCCCTC